TTCGGTGGGCAAGGCTGGGAGGAAGGTGTTTTAAGTCTTAATTGCGCTTAAAAAAAACCACAACATGAAATTTACCATCTTAACCATTTTTAGGGGTACAGTTCAGTGGTGTTAAATATATTCACATGTAGAGCCACAATCTCCAGAAATTTGTCACCATACAAAACTGAAACTCTGCATCCATTAAACAAGGAGTCCCCAGTCCCCTCCTCCCAGCTCCTGGCAGCCACCATCCAACTTTCTATTTCTATGCGCTTGACTACTTGAGATACCCAGTGTAAGTAGAATCACACAGTATTTATCTCTCTCATTTTTTCAATTGAAAGGTAGTTGATTTACAAGGTTGTGTTTGAGGTGTACAGCAAAGTGATTCAGATATAGATACATATATATATATAAAACTAAAATATATATAACTGGAAAAGAATACATATACATGTATGTATTCATTTTCAGATTCTCTTCCATTATAGGTTATTACAAGATATTGAATAAAGTTCCCTGTTCTTTACAGTAGGTCCTTCTTGTTTATCTATTTTATATATAGTGGTATGTATCTGTTTATCCAAAACTACTAAATTATCCATCTCCACCTTTCCCTTTGGTAACCATAGTTTGTATTCTATGTCTGTGAATCTATTCTGTTTTGTAAATAAGCTCATTTGTATCATTTTTTGATTCCACATATAAGTGATGTCATATAATATTTATCTTTGTCTGTCTTACTTCACCTAGTATAATAATCTTTAGATCCATCCATGTTGCTGCAAATGGCATGATTTCATTCTTTTTATAGCTGAGTAGTATTCCATTGTATATACATATACCAGTTCCTCTTTATTCATCTGTTGATGGACATTTAGGTTGCTTCCAATTCTTGGCTATTGTAATTAGTGGTGCCATGAACATTGGGTACATATATTTTTTCAAATTAGAGTTTTTTCCCAGATATATACCCAAGAGTGAGTCTGCTGCATCATATGGTAATTACACTTCTACTTTTTTAAGGAAAAGTATTTATTATTTTGTGATGGGCTTATTGCCCTGAGAATCATGTCCTCAAGTTTCATCCCACAAAAAGTTTTCTACTGTATAGCAAGGGAACTACATTCCATACCTTGTAGTAACCTATAATGAAAATGAATATGGAAAGGAATATGTGTATGTATACGTACGACTGAGACAGCATGCTGTATACCAGAAACTGACACAACATTGTAAACTGACTATACTTAAATAAAACAAAAGTTCATCTATGTTGTAGCATGTGCCAGAATTTCCTTCCTTTTTAAGGACAGATAATAACCTATTGTAGAGCTATATCACATTGTGTTCCTCCATTCATCTGTTTCTGGACACTTGTGTTGCCTGTACCTTTGACTATAGTGAACAAGCTGCTACAAACATGGGTGTGCAAATACCTCTCATAGGTCCCGCTTTCAATTCTTTTTTATATATACCCAGAAGTGGGACTGCTGGATTGGAGAAATGCTTTTGAAACCAACCTGGGCCCCCTGGAACCTCTTAGCTCCTTATCAGAAGCTATTACTGTGAGTGTGGGTGGCCTGCGGAAGGAACAGACTCATACCATCCAAGGAAGCAAGGTCAACTTCCTGAACAGTGGACTAGGACCAAACTTGCCTGCCCCATATAGGCATAAACACACACAGAAACACACACACACACACACAGATACACGCCAATGCCTGCCCAGCCAGCCGTCAGTAACCTGAGACACAGACAATGTCCCCACTCTATTTTCACCACCAGTCCCACCTTTTTCCCACAGCAGGAGAACTCTGGGCCTAGGCTCCTGGGGGGTGCCTTCTAGCCCAGTGACCAACTCACCTGCCCAGGCCAAACCTGGTGAGATGCTGAGTGGGTGGCAGGGCAGCCAGGCCACCCTGTGTGTCTCTGGGCCTCCTGGCATCAGGAAGCCAAACCCGGGCCCTTGGCCCAGGCTGGGTGCTTAGAACCTCACCTTCCTCAACACCTAGACTCAAACCAGACCAAGGCTGACTTTCAGAAAATACTGAACAGGTGAGGTGAATGAAGGAGTCCTGGTTCTAATACAGGACTTAGTGAGCAAAGGGTTGGGAGTGGCCCCTGTCAGGCCCTTGCAAATGCCCCTCAGGCAAAGGACAGCTGCCCTCTAATCCTTCCCCTCTGCTGAGGAGACAGCTGGGGACCATCCTGTGAGGGATGGACCTTTTTCAGGCCCTCTGCTCCCTCAGTAACATCCTGCCACTTCCCTTCTGGCAATATGGCTTAATATCACAGGTCAGAGGCAAAGGAGGGGTGTGGTCACCTCGGGCACTGGGAGGGACATGGAGCCTTTTACAGCAGGGTTAAAGTCCTCCTCTCCTTTAAACCCAGACAGGTTGTACCGTAGCTGATACCCTGTGTCCCAGCCTTGCTCAAGATCTGGCCTCCCCAGGGTCCCAACCTTGTTGCCTCCCAATTGCACAGGCATGCAGGGGGCCTGGGTGCTGCTGCTGCTGCTGGGCCTGGGGCTTCAGCTCTCCCTTGGCGTCATTCCAGGTAATGAGACACCTCAAAGTCCCCACCCCCACCCCAACCCACACACACAAGGAGCTGTCCCAAGCCTGACCCAGCCTCCAATCTCCACCTGACCAGCTGAGGAGGAGACCCCAGCCTTCTGGAACCGCCAGGCAGCCCAAGCCCTGGACACCGCTAAGAAGCTGCAACCCATCCAGACAGCCGCCAAGAATCTCATTATCTTCTTGGGGGATGGTGAGTGTGCTAGGCTTGTCCATCCCTTGTCCTCCCCACAAACCTGGAACCCAAGGCTGCCAGCACACACTGGCCAGATCTGGGGACGCAGGCCTGACATGTGCACATTTAGGGATGGGAGTGCCTACAGTGACAGCCACTCGGATCCTGAAGGGGCAGATGAGTGGCAAGCCAGGACCCGAGACACCCCTGGCCATGGACCAATTCCCATACCTGGCTCTATCCAAGGTAAGGGCCTGGCGACCTCAGGGAGCTCTCCCCTAGAGGGGTGGGTGTGGGGTTAGGGAGCCTGGCAGGAGGGAGGGCCCCAGGAGGGCTGGGGCCTGAGTTAGGGCCCAGGGGCAGTGGGAATGGGCCCCAGGGCCTGGGTAAGTCAGGATCTGGGTGACTTACCAGACTCTGCCCCCAGACTTACAACGTGGACAGACAGGTGCCAGACAGTGCAGGTACGGCCACCGCCTACCTGTGTGGGGTCAAGGCCAACTACAGGACCATTGGTGTAAGTGCAGCCGCCCGCTACAACCAGTGCAACACAACACAAGGCAATGAGGTCACCTCTGTGATGAACCGGGCCAAGAAAGCAGGTGGGCTTCAGGCCAGCTTTGTGGGCAGGGGTAGGCTCACAGACCCCAGGGGCCCATCATGACCTCTGCCACCCACAGGGAAGTCCGTGGGAATCGTGACCACCACAAGGGTGCAGCATGCCTCTCCAGCCGGCACCTACGCACACACAGTGAACCGCAACTGGTACTCAGATGCCGACCTGTCTGCTGATGCGAAGACGCAGGGCTGCCAGGACATCGCCACGCAGCTCATCAACAACATGGACATTGACGTGCGACAGGGCGGGCAAGGGGCGGGGCTGGGCAGAGGGGGAGGGACCCACACCCACCACAGTGCCAGGCAACCCACCGCCCTGGGGCCTGCCAGGGTCTCTGTGAGGTTGGGGTGGAGGTGACTCTAGGAGGTACAGGTGGAGACAGGCCATCCCCGTAGACCTGGTGGTGGGGGCTAAGGGCTGTCTGAGGAGGGAGCAAGGGGTTAGCCAGGCCTCAAGCCCACCTGCCCTAATCTCTGTGCCCAGGTGATCCTGGGTGGAGGCCGAAAATACATGTTTCCTGAGGGGACCCCAGACCCTGAGTACCCACAGGATGCCAATCAGAACGGAGTCCGGAAGGATAAGCGAAACCTGGTGCAGGAGTGGCAGGCCAAGCAGCAGGTGATGGGGGCTCACGGGTGCAGGGGTGCAGCGGGCAGGGTTGAGGGTGCAGAAATATGGGCTGAGACCTGGTTCTGCCCCTCCCAGGGTGCCCAGTATGTGTGGAACCGCTCGGCACTCATGCAGGCGTCCAATGACCCCAGTGTAACACATCTTATGGGTAATGACCCCATTCACCCTCACTGTCCTCCACAGGACTTCAGGGTCCTCAGTCGGCCAAGCATGTGCGCAGACATTTGTGCCACTGACCTTCCCCACTCCTCAGCTTTGTGGTCACCAATGAATTCCCTTTCCCACAGGCCTCTTTGAGCCTGTAGACATGAAATATGAAGCCCAGCGAGACCTCACCAAGGACCCATCCCTGGCAGAGATGACGGAGGCAGCCCTGCGCCTACTGAGCAGGAACCCCCTTGGCTTCTACCTCTTTGTAGAGGGTGAGTGGCAGCCCCTTACTGAGCAGAGGAGGGAAGGGGCAGTCAGGGTGGGTTTCGCATCACCCACCTTCCCCATGTCCTTCCTGCAGGAGGTCGCATTGACCACGGTCACCATGATGGCATAGCTTATATGGCGCTGACGGAGGCCGTCATGTTTGACACTGCCATCGACAAGGCCAACC